GAGAGCCACTAGGGGCGCTTCCACCGAAGTAGCAGAGTAAAACTCTGTTATTTCAACCAGATAGTCGCATAGAGACCATCTGAACGGCGCAATCTGACGTTTTGCTGTAGATGCGCACTAGCCTCTTAGTGCTTTCCTATGGGGCCAGCTGCAGAGACTGGGGATTTTAGGCAGAACAGGTAAGTAAAATAACATATTTTCTCCTGTTAGGTGGGGACCAGTCACATAAATGTCCTCCAGGGAACTATAGCATTAGGAGCGCACATTTGTATTCCTAACGCTATAGTGTTCCCTGCAGCTTCTTTTCCTATATCACCAAGTGAAGAATTGCAAGAGCTGCAGACTCCTTCATCTCTGGTGACACTGTTCGTTGAAGCATCAGTCTGAAAAAAGTCTAGCCTGAGTCTATTTATCTATAAATGGAAAGCTTGAAAGTAAAGTTTATAATTAACAGAGATAAATGTGATAAAACACCTCATCACTGCCCTTGGGAATGTGATTGGCATCAATTGGCTTTAATAGGTTTTTTTAACAGCACCCCATATTTTAATATCACATGATTCTTTCATGGACAGTTTCCATGGAAACAGCATCATGACTAGGTATCTGCGCTTTTTCTGTGCCCAATATTGGTACTCCTAATCCAAAACACAGGTTATTTTTAACCTCTCAGAGCTGTGCAACTCTGCAATTACATCCCGTAAATGACACGTTTGGGAGCTGAGTCTTTGTGTTTGCTCAGTGGAAATGCGTTTGCTGCTGTTTGGAAGCCAGAAAAACATAGGTCACACGGAATGAACAGCATAGTGATTTTTTTTTCATCAGATAAAACCTTACTGATATTGGTCTCAGGAGAATAATGCAACAATATTTTTCAAAGTATAATTTAACTGTTGATGTTCCCATCAGTCATTGCACTCTGTTAAGAAGCCTACAACTGCACTGCATCATGTATAAATATTCACCATAAATAATGCCATAGACTGAAAGAGCGAGAGAGGTCATGTCACTGTAATTTAGTTTTTGGCCCTGATTATGATGACAGCATATCTAGACCGGAAGTTTTTTAAAGTGACCTTTTATTGTGGCCAGCCTAAGGCACGCCTTTGCAACAATCATGCAGTCTAATCAGCATCTTGTTATGCCACATTTGTAAGGTGGATTGATTATCTCGGCAAAGGAGAAGTGCTCACTAACACAGATTCAGACAGATTTGTGAACAATATTTGTGTACATAGAAAAAGTCTTAGATATTTAAGTTCAGTTCATGAAAAATGGGGGAAAAAACTAAAGTGTTGAGTTTATAGTTTTGTTCAGTGTAGTATTACAGTGAAACCCTAAAACACATATAAAAGCATACTGAACTATATAAAAAACACTAAAATGAAATAAAAGGCCAACACATGATATAAATAATTAAATTTTTGCCAAACTACTCAAAAAAAGTTTTCTTTTTTTCTACGCCGTGTGAAAGATATCGTAGGAATAGTATGGGGTAAGGTAAGTAGAGTTTTCACTCTCAATCATAAGATCTCTAACAAAAAAACTGAAAGTGATTAATTGAATTATAACCTAAAAGTGGGTATTGCAGAGGCATTGTGGTCGTTGTACATATGTTGGAGAATGGAGATGGATAGAAACCAATTATAGGTATAAAATCTCTACTCATTTATTTGCTGTGGTTGACAGAATTTACATTTTTAATGAGAAGGAAAGGCATCATTCCTTTTTTGAGTAGAAGATCTTAGACAAGGTAGATTATGGGTGAACATTGCTTTGTAAGGGCTTTATGATAACTAAGGTGTATATTAATAAAACATGGCAAAGGGAAATTTTTATCTGTTTGTAATTTTATCTATGCATTATTCTATCAAAATAGATTGCATTTGTCTGCTTTTAATTTTTTTTTTTGTCTCTTGTTACTGTTTCTGGCTGCAAAGTTAGTCACATAAAAGTTTGGTGTTAAAGGAACACTATAGTCACCTAAATTACTTTAGCTAAATAAAGCAGTTTTAGTGTATAGATCATTCCCCTGCAATTTCACTGCTCAATTCACTGTCATTTAGGAGTTAAATCACTTTGTTTCTATATATGCAGCCCTAGCCACACCTCCCCTGGCTATGATTGACAGAGCCTGCATGAAAAAAAAACTGATTTCACTTTCAAACAGATGTAATTTACCTTAAATAATTGTATCTCAATCTCTAAATTGAACTTTAATCACATACAGGAGGCTCTTGCAGGGTCTAGCAAGCTATTAACATAGCAGGGGATAAAAAAATCTTAATTAAACAGAACTTGCAATAAAGAAAGCCTAAATAGGGCTCTCTTTACAGGAAGTGTTTATGGAAGGCTGTTCAAGTCACATACAGGGAGGTGTGACTAGGGTTCATAAACAAAGGGATTTAACTCCTAAATGGCAGCGGATTGAGCAGTGAGGCTGCAGGGGCATGTTCTATACACCAAAACTGCTTCATTAAGCTAAAGTTGTTCAGGTGACTATAATGTCCCTTTAATTTAAATACCTTTGAATAAAGAAAATACAGATTAAGGAAAAGCGCACAACAAACAAAGCAGTTTTAAATTTTACAAGGCTACTTAAAATCACCTTTCTTAGCAAACAAATATGGCGATTCAGTTAAACCATATGGCCATATTGTGTTAAGCACACTATATATTCTTTGAATATAGCACAACTCAGAGATACCAGGTAAGATGAACCAAACATGTGAAATATCAAAAAGGCTAAAACTTTTATTTCAAAACATCTGCTAATCTACACATTCTCTAACTTTTTGGCTAGCGTTATGCGTGTGTTATGTACGACCATGTCCATTTAAATTTACATCTATCTAGCAGTGTGCTTCATTACGAAACATGTCCATAGATTATTGTATCTCTGCATTAAAGTGTTACATTAAAGTCAGTTTTTCATTAATATTTAGCAATGTGCTTCTATTTTAACTTTTTTTTTTTTTTTATGGAACATTTGTAAGGAGTATCTACTTTGTTTTATTTTATATATTGTGCAAATCATTTCCACTGAATCACTACTATGTTCTTCCATAATTTCAATAATATTGTGGTCTAGCAAACGCCAGTATAATTGAACACATTATGTTTTCAATTCTTTTTTATTTTTTTATTCTTTATTTTTGTAGTGCGATTTGATTACAGGCAGGCGTGATATGCCACAATAGCAATATCCAGCGTTTCACAAGAGACAATGGTGACCCATTGCAATACTGCACTTTTTTTTTAAATTTTTATTTTTGCAGTGCATATAAAGGTAACAAACAGGCATGGGGTACCCCAAAGGCAATCCACATGCACATTTCCAGACAATAGTTACACAGTAGTAAAAGCATTGGGGTATGTTGAACAGTGCACTAATTTTATATTTGGGTAAATGCTTGAGTCGTGCATTTGAATATCAGGCACAGTTGCATTAGAACATAAACTTGTTTAACATAATCAGGGTTAATCGTGTAGCATCGTCTGTAAGTATGTATTTATGCTGTGAATATGCTTGGTCAGAGCGTGGGTTAAGTTGGAAGCTTGCGGTTACACATTGCTAGGCAGGTAGATTATGCATGTTGTGTGGGTAATATGCTAGGCTAGTGTGATGTTATCAGGCATAGAAGTGTGGGATCTATGTGTAACAAGCTGGTGAAGCGACAGCGTGTATAAGGCTGATATAGCTATAGAAGCTGGGATTTTCGTTGTTAGCCAAGGTGTGAGTAAGCCTGTGTGTACAATGGGCTATTTACAGTTAACAGTGTCCATGAGGGGTTGTCAGGTCGCAGACCGTTGGCAGGTTTCAGGAGGTAGGCTGATGGGTGTGTTGTATGCCTTCCTCAGCCTATGCCCCGTGCTTGCCGCAATGAAGAGTCCGTTTCCAGGTCTGGTTTGCTCGTGCTTCTAGTCGGTATGCGGGAACGTTGGTTTCCCTGTTCGCGTTGCGAGCTCTGTGTGCTGCACGATGGGTCTCTGTCTCTTCGGCTCTGGGCTTTGTTGGGGGCTAGTGCCCTCTGTCCGTGGATCCCCCTCCGTCGGGAGGCCGGATCGTGGGTCCCCGGGGTTTCCGGCTTGCGGTCTTCCCTGTGGGTGGTCGGACTGCGGCCTGAAGAGGGACAGGTGTCCGCTGCTGTGTGGTAGGTAGGTTCTGTTTCGGGAGGGCACGGCTGGGGTCCCCGCTTGGCTAAGCGGTCCCAGAAGGCCTGGCAAATAGCCTCAAACCGGGCGTCAAAGGCCTCTCTCCAGCTTTGGTCCGTCTGGCTTACTGGGCTGTGTTGGGGTTGCGCTGTGGCGGCCATCTTGAGGGTGCCTCGTGGCTCACCCAGGTGTCTGGCTCAGGCCCCTTGGCAGTAGCTAGTAGTCTGTGCTTCAGTCGCTTAGTGTGGACCGGGATGTCCCCCACCGGTCCAGGGGGGGGGGAAGGAGTTAGGAGGTATGCTGAGCCTGTGGTCTGGCTCTCTAGCGAGGAAAGCGGCCGCCTCTCCTCGGTTCGATCCCCAGTAGGCCTCAGCAGGTTTTTAGGGTTCCCGGCTCTTGTTAGACGAGAATCGGGTGTCAATCGGTTCTTCCGGGTGTCCCCTCCTTGTTTAGCATCCTCCTGACAGTAGACGTGCCGTTTTTTAGGGGTTTTTACCCTTAAATGTGCAGTTTTGGTCAGGAGCTTGGTTCCTGCACGTCTGATCAGCCTGGAAGCTAGGCTCCGCCCCCCTGCACTTTTTTTTTTAAAGAATAATAATGTCAAGGCATAAGCAAAACAGACTCTATAAGATAGCTTAATCAATTAGCGTTTGAGTGTATTAATCATGCTTAAACAACAGATGAACTGGATTAAGTTCCCACTAGGACTGCAATCAGTCTTTGAGACATGAAGAGCTCGAGATAAGGGATGAAATAACATAAAATAAACCTGACAAGCCTGGTAGACAACAGGTTAGTGTAACTAACATAAGACATCATATAATATAATATAAAATGGCGGTTTCTCAGGCCTCGTGGCTCTCTCTCGTCGTGGGCAGACCACTCGATTCTATCCTTCCGGGCTTCATCCAATTCCAATAGTCAGATGGCCTAAGAAGCAGGCAGAGTTTTACTGGGGGGCTGCTGGGGAAGCATAGAGTGAGGTCATCCATCCAGGACTGGGCCCCTGTGGAGGCCAGTGCCTCCATTTCGCTGACCTGGCGGCTCAAAGGAACCAAGTCCTTCCTATATGGGATATTGTGATGGGTCCCCACCCGATGAACAGCGGGCAGTCGCTGGTTTGGCGGTGTTGAGCCCTGATTGGCTTTTGGCAATAGAATGGGAGCTTGCTTGTCTTCGGTGTCCGGATGAGGCCTGCTCACTCCACATGGTTCAGCAGTCTCTTGTTGGGAAGCTAAAGCTGCTGCTCGTGCTTCCAATTTAGTCCAGAAGCTGGTAAATATTGCTTCCAGTTACTCCAGGGAGTGTTCAACAGAAACTTGATTGTGGGTTCAGTATGAACAGCAACTTACGAGTGTGGGTACCAGGATTCAGGCTGGAAACGGGATTATTACCCTGAAAATTGTTGGCTTGTGCTGGAGCTCGCACAGCAAGCAACTGCTCAGCTCGATCTTTTCAATTCTTATAGTGAAAGCTGCCTTTTATTTGAAAAAGGCTCTTATGTAGAGCTGAAACACTGTAATTGAATAGAGCTGCTATACCAGACTTATATGGTGCTTGGTCTTTCTATTTATGGGTTTCTCTTTGAAAGAAAATGCCAAGATGCCAGCTGTCACTAAGCTTTACTTTATAACTGGGACTTTACAGGGTTTAGATATGAAAAAATGAATACTTCATTTGTACCTGTTCCATCACCATAGACATAACTTGAATAGGTGTTTGACTTCTTTTGAAATGTACTGCATATGGATTTAACCATTGAATAGCAACATATTAAAATTCATACCAATTAATTTTGCTGGCAGCTCTAAACACACCCCTTAAATTTATGTACAGATAGGAATAAGCCATACAGTGAGGGGGAAAATTATTTGATCCCCTGCTGATTTTAAACGTTTGTCCACTGACAAAGAAATAATCAGTCTATAATTTTAATGGTAGGTTATTTTAACAGTGAGAGACAGATTATACATTTATTTAGATGTCAATGAGTGAAATAAATATTTGATCCCCTATCAATCAGCAAGATTTTTGGCTCCCAGGTGTCTTTTATACAGGTAACGAGCTGAGATTAGGAGCACTCTCTAAAAGGGAGTGCTCCTATTCTCAGCTCATTACCTGTATAAAAGACACCTATTCAGAGAAGCAATCAATCATGCCTCCATCATGGCCAAGACCAAAGAGCATCCTTTGAATAAAGAAAATACAGATGGATGTCAGGGACAAGATTGTAGACCAACACAAGGCTGGAATGGGCTACAAGACCATCGCCAAGCAGCGTGGTGAGAAGGGGCAACAGTTGGTGCTATTATTGACAAATGGAATAAACACAAAAAAACAGTCTCCCTCGGTCTGGTGCTCCAGAAACTCTCACCTTGTGGAGTTTCAATGATCATGAGAATTGTGAGGAATCAGCCCATAACTACACGGGAGGATCTTGTTAATGATCACAAGGCAGCTGGGACCAAGAAAACAAGTGGTAACACACTGCTCCATGAAGGACTGAAATCCTGCAGCGCCCGCAAGGTTCCCCTACGCAAAAAAGCACATGTACAGGATCGTCTGAAGTTTGCCAATGAACATCTGAATGATTCAAAGGAGAGCTGGGTGAAAGTATTGTGGGGACAGGACAACTGCATCGCATCAAAGGGACGATGGACGGGGCCATGTACTGTCAAATCTTGGGTGAGAACCTCCTTCCCTCAGCGAGGGCATTGAATATGGGTTGTGGATGAGTATTCCAGCATGGCAATGACCCAAAACACACAGCCAAGGCAACAAAGGAGTGGCTCAAGAAGAAGCAAATTAAGGTCCTGGAGTGGCCTAGCCAGTCTCCAGACCTTAATCTCATAGAAAATCTGTGGAGGGAGCTGAAGGTTCGAGTTGCCAAACGTCAGCCTCTAAACCTTAATGACTTGTAGAGGATCTGCAAAGAGGAGTGGGACAAAACCCCTCCTGAGATGTGTGCAAACCTGGTGGCCAACTACAAGAAACGTCTGACCTTTGTGATTGCTTACAAGGGTTTTGCCACCAAGTACTAAGTCAAAGAGGTCAAATACTTATTTCACTGACTGACATGCAAATCAATTTAGAACTTTTTTGACATACTGCAAGTCTGAGTTTTAAAAGACCACTTCTAGCAAACCTGAACAGTGCTCAGATCACCTACAGCTGGAAGGAAAAGGCCTTATGCATGTCTGAGTTTCTGCAAGCCTGAGTTTTAAAAGACCACTTCTAGCAAACCTGAACAGTGCTCAGATCACCTACAGCTGGAAGGAAAAGGCCTTATGCATGTCTGAGTTTCTGCAAGTCCGAGTTTTAAAAGACCACTTCTAGCAAACCTGAACAGTGCTCAGATCACCTACAGCTGGAAGGAAAAGGCCTTATGCATGTCTGAGTTTCTGCAAGTCTGAGTTTTAAAAGACCACTTCTAGCAAACCTGAACAGTGCTCAGATCACCTACAGCTGGAAGGAAAAGGCCTTATGCATGTCTGAGTTTCTGCAAGGTAGACTATGGAGGAAACTATCTACCCTTAATACTGGACACTATAATTGTATTGAATTTGAACCCCTTGCATATTTTTAAACTATATATCTCTAACCACCATTTCTTTGTCATTGTATCTTAACTGGACGTGCTTGCTCTTTAGTGTGTGTGTGTATATGTATGTGTGTATATATATATATATATATATATATATTTATATGTGTGTGTGTGTGTTTTCTCATACACACATATATTCTGCAGTTTGTCTTGTCCTGCATGCTAAAGCTAGTTGCTCCCTGCCCTTCTCAACATTGGTTTTGTTAACTTAAATGTTATTCAACATCCTGCTTATCTCTAAAGATTTTCTCTGTTATTTCTTCTCCCCCCCCCTTATTTTATTGATACCCACCCGAATGTCTTGCTTGACCAATCCTCACCTCCTCTGTGCATCTCCATTCCATAGCTTTTATTGCAGTCCTGTTTTGACCCTATCATCTCTGTCTTCCACAGTCTGAGTTTTAAAAGACCACTTCTAGCAGACCTGAACAGTGCTCAGATTCCCACCCCAAGTTCCTTACTACATTTAGATAGAATCCCACACACAACTTTAGTTAATTCCAAGTAGCAGCTGCAAACACTACCCGTAATGAGCACAATCCACCTTCTTAACCCCTAACACTCACTCCTTCTCCTCCCTTATGCTCATTCTCCTTCCCTCTAATTACCTACCTATCAGAGCAATGCTCTATATTCTCCTCCTCTCCTTCTCTTTCATCTCCCTAAGGATCAAAATATCCCCTTCCACCCACTTCCCTCAACAAAACACTAACATTTACATTAATCCCTCTCTGCTACACTCCCCCCTTCTCTCATCTCAAGCCCTGCACTCATTTATCTATTCTCTCTCTCCTGCTCTAACCCAATCTCACCCTAGTCGCCGCCCATATAAAACCCACTCACACCTCCTGTCTCTATCTCTCCTCCTACTTCTGGCAGCTGGTGACGTCTCTCTCAACCTAGGGCCCCTCACCTCATCTGCTCACACTAAAATAACCAGAAACCATGCAAACCTCCTCCAAATACCCTGCAGTCTATCCTCCTCTACCAAAATTCAGTGTGCACTCTGGAATGCTCGCTCCATTTGTAGTAATATCAAATCTACAGATACATGACCTCCTCAAACTCTCTCACAATACTGGCACTCACTGAGACCTGGCTATCTCCATCCGATACCGCTACTCCTGCTTCTTTATGCACAGTTCTCCCATACTCCTAGACTCACTGTACATCCTTCTCTCCCCTCAATGTACCTTTCAACCTATCCTCCCTGCCCCTGCCCTATCCTTTACTTCCTTTGAAGTTCACACTGTACGCCTTTTTAAGCCCACTCCTTTAAGAATTGCCATCATCTATCGCCCCCCCCGGTCACCCTAAACTATTCATTGAACACTTTTCCTCCTGGTGCACTCCCTCTCTCATACTTGGGGACTTCAATATCCCTATCAACAAGCTCAATTGCCCTGATGCCTCTCGTCTGCTCTCTGTAACCTCCTCCTTTGGACTCACACAGATGCAACTCACACTGCAGGAAACACTCTTGACCTCATCTTCACCAATCTCTGGAACTGCTCCATTTCCTTTGTCTGACCACCATCTGCTAACATCTGCATACGCAGAAACCTCAACTCTCTCGAAGCACTTCTCCACTAAACTCCAAACACTCCTTTTACCCATCTCAAATCACAACTGCCCTAACTCTGCAACCTCACTCTACAACTCCACTCTCTCCTCTCAACTTGACATCATGGCACCTCCTACAGTTAAACGCAGCAATACAACCCTGGCACTGCTGACCCGTTACCTCCAAAAATGCAGAACTGCTGAACGCTGCTGGAGAAAGTCTCACTTTGCATCTGACTTTGTCCACTATAAATTTATGCTGCGCTCCTACAGCATGGCTCTTTCCTCTGCAAAAGTAAGCTACTTCAACACCCTCATAAGCACACTGTCCCACCAACCCAAACACCTTTTCACACTTTTGATGCACTTCTTCGCCCTGTGACTCCCCCTCCTTCCACCACCTTGTCCGCCACAAACTTTGCATCTCATTTCACTGAGAAGATCTCTACAATTCAGGAAAGAGATCTCTAATCTTTCTCCGACCAGTATCAATACATCACCCAACCCCACTCCCCCTGCATCCTAAGCTCATTTGCACCTGCTACAGCACAAGAGGTTTCTGCTCTGCTCCTGTCCTCCCGCCCCACCACCTGCTCCCTCGATCCTATTCCCTCGCATCTCATCCACACTTTGTCTCCCTCTCTTGCTCTTCCTCTCGCTAACATTTTCAATCTCTCCCTTTCCTCTGGCACATTTCCCTCTGCCTTCAAACATGCAACCGTAACCCAATTCTGAAAAAGCCCAACCTGATCCCAACTCCCCATCCAACTACCGCCCTATCTCGCTACTGCCATTTGCCTCCAAGATCCTCGAGAGAGTTGTCTACGCCAGATTGACAGACTTTCTTGAATCCAACTCTCTGCTTGACCCCCTTCAGTCTGGATTACGCTGGTCACTCTGTCGAAACTGCTGTGACCAAAGTATCCAACGATTTAATTGCTGCTAAATCTCGCGGCCAATACTCTATCCTAATCCTCCTTGATCTTTCTGCCGCCTTTGACACTGTTGATCATCAACAGCTTCTTCACATTCTCCGTAACTTTGGTCTACGGGATTCTGCTCTCTCCTGGTGCTCCTCCTACCTCTCCCAGCGCTCCTTCAGTGT